CCACGGAGGGCAACAGTCTCTGTACGAAGATAGACAGCCCAGAAAGAGATATTTGACTCAAACGCAGATAGCATTGGGAGGTGAATCCGGGAGGCGAGGTCTGGATCGAAGCAAAGCTTGTCTTCACAAGGGTGATGTAATGTTTTGGAATTGACTTTCTCAGTGTTGGGGATTTGTAAAGAAGTCTGAGAGGGCATGCAGGAGGGGCAGAGCAGTCTGCAACAGATCAACATGAAAAGAAACTCAGTTTGTACGCTTTCTGGACAAGATGTGAGGTGAGCTTTATTGTGCAAAACTCACCGCCTTGATGTTAGAGTGATGTGGGTCATTGCTAAGATTTTTGGGTGATTGCTAGTTGAGTTCACATCCAATTCACTGATATTCTGCTGTCTAATTAGGGTTCCTCCTATTGGATGTTTTCATCTACTGTTTTGTTCACCAGATTAAAAGTATTTACTTTATTATTTATGCATTTGGAAGATGCTTTTATCCAAATAATAATAAGTATTTCACCCAAAAATGAAAATTTGCTGACATTTTACTCATCCTCTGGCCATCCAAGATATTGATGAGCTTGTTTCTTCATCAGAACAGATTTGGAGATATGTAGCATTCCATCACTTGTTCACCAGTGGATCCTCTGCAGTTAATGGGTGCCGTCAGAATGAGAGTCCAAACAGCTGATAAAAACATCACAATAATCCACACCACTCCAGTCCATCAATTAACATCTTGTGAAGTGAAAACCTGCATGTTTGTACAAATCCACCATCAAACATTTTAACTTAAAACTGTCACTTCTTTTCAAAATACTAGTCCATAATCTATAATAACGGTTCCTCCAGTGAAAAAAGTTCATCTCCTGTTGTCCTCTCACATCAAAATCCACTGACATATTTGCTTAGGACTGTTTTCTCTTGTAAACAGTACTTGATATGTGCATATTTCTCTCCTGATTCAGACAAGACAAATTTTCAATGGAGAAAGCAGTATTATGGATGGAGGACTCGTATTTTACCTGGAATCAGCGGTTTGAAGTTAAAAATGTCTTGATGAATTTATTTCTTATAAACACACAGCTTTTCACTTCACAAGATGTTAATTGATGGACTGGCGTGGTGTGGATTACTTGTGGATTATTGTGATGTTTTTATCAGCTGTTTGGACTCTCATTCTGACGGCACCCATTCACTGCAGAGCATCCATTGGTGAGTAATGATGATATAACGTCTCGGTTACGTATGTAATCCTCGTTCCCTGAAGGAGGGAACGGAGACGTCACGTCGGATGACCGACAAAGAGTGACCGACTGAAAGGGAATGCTAAATTTCTCCAAATCTGTTCTGATGAAGAAACAACCCTTACGGAACAAAATATATGAGAATATACTGCAAAATATAATGTGATATATTGCATAATGCATTTCCATATATGGGAAACTAGTGCTTATATTTTTCACTATACTGTAATATATGCATTGACCATGAATGGCGATATATTGATACATACAAAAGTATTTAGAAATTAAGATAAAAATAGCATTACATGTAATATCCATAAAGTTGTATCCTTCATTGTGCACATATATTGCACACCCATATAAATGTTAATGTATGTACACACATATATATATACACACATTCACAGAATGAGTTACAGCAGATTTCTAGTTCCCAGCATGCTTTGCTTCTGACTGTTAAAGGAGAGTAAAAATGTTAAAACTAAGTGTTATTTCATGGGGAGATCTGTTAGTGTGCAATATTTTATTGTTTTGGAATTTGGGGTTTATGGTATGTCTGAGTTTTTGGGGTTACCATTGTGCTGAAGAGTAGAGCCTGTGGTTAGGTTGACGACTGGCCTAACACCAGTAAGACTATATATTACTTTATTTTAAAATTAATGGCTGTGCACTCTTCAGCACGCTGATAGTCTCTTTGCTAAATACTTTAGTACATGCAGGTTTTGCCTGTAGAGTCTTGGCAAAATTAACAGCACCTCTCCTCAGGTACAGAATCATTCATGTATGTAGCACAAATGGTGATGGGCATCGCAAAGTTGAATACTTAGTTTAAGTGGTTCGGTTAGATAACTAACTATATGTATGAGCGAGACTAATCATGATGCTTGATTTAGCAACGCCACTAATTATTTGTGCAATATTATGTTTAAATGGCCATTCTGCATGCATTACATAACTGGGCAGCTGGCTAAAACTAAAGATAGATATGTGTGTTTGCATGCAACATCCAGACAACCGGTCGACTGCTAACACGCATAGTCAAAAGATTAAAATGTGCTTAAATGAAGAGGAAATTTCGCTGGTTAATAATGCACATTTATGTTAAAAATGCATGCAGAGCTGTGATGAAAGATGCATGTCACCGTTGAACGACTCAGCAGGTGTCAGCCTCATAGATCTTGTGGTATTTCGCTCAGGGGAATTGGTGTGCATTAGAAAACTCAATAAGGGGATTTTTTTCCTGTCAATTTTCACCGTACTCCATCACGCCTGGCACAGAGACAGTATGCTGAAAGTAAGAGAGCAGTCTGCTGTCTGCTGACTTTTACACTTTAACTGCAGGGAAAGAGAAGGTGGTGCTATTTTTGTGTGCAAAGAAGTCAAACTACACCACAACATCTATTTACCTGCTAAACGTATTTTCCCTCGGTGTGCTGCGTATCTAAATGTGATTTTGAAATGGCAGTTTGCACAGTGTGACATGGATTTACAAATTCTAAAATGCAAAGTCAGGTGTTTTTAAATAATGTATGTAAGCAATATATAAAGTCATTCACATGTTATGTGTGGTGTGTAAGTCTTCACTACTGTTAACTACTGTGTACTGATTAAAAATACTCCTATTTGAATATATTTAAAATGCAATTTATTCCTGTGATGCAAAGCTGTATTTTCAGCATAATTCTTCCAGTCTTCAGTGTCACATGATCCTTCAGAAATCATTCTAATATGCTTATTTGATGATCAAGAAATATTTCTTATTATTGTCAGTGTCGAAATCAGTTGTGCTGCGTGTCTGTGTTTGAAATAGATATCTTTGTAACATTATAAATGTCTTTACTGTCACTTTTGATCAATTTAATGCATCCTTGCTGAATAAAAGTATTAATTTCTTTTTAAAAAATCCTACTGATCCCAAACTTTTGACTGTGAGTGTAGATGTTCAAAGAGCTATATGCTGCATCTTTTAAGTTGTATTGCTTTGTTTGTGTTTCATCCATAATAACTCCTTTTCTCTTGCAGGTCTCATGTGAAGTACCTCTCGTTGGCTCTTAAAGGGAGAGGCCGTGTGTTTGACCCGCTGACACTGCTCCTGTTGCGCCAGGTCGACATCTGATAGCATGATGACAATAAATGACCATGTGGATCACTGAAAACTCGAATAAACTCTTATTCCATCCAGCAGACTCGAGTTTTAATTTTTCACTGTTATTGCCACAGTGTCGTCGCAGGCATTGCTTTGAGCCACATATTTCCTGTAGCACTATCAGATATGCTCTAATCTTAAAGATATAGCACACCCAAAAATGAAACTTCTTTCATCATCCACTCACTCTCTTGTTGCACTCTCTTGTCTCTTTTTTCCTTTTCAGTGCAACACAAAAGGAACAAAGTGTCTAGACTGTTCTTTTCTGTACAATGGGATGACGGTCTGTCGAGCTAAAAAAAATGACACATAAAAGCACCATTAAAGTATCCATATGCCATATTCTAAGTCATACGATAGCTTTGTGTGAGGAACAGACTGAAATTGAAATCGTTGTCCGTTTGTTCGTTCTCCTTTTGTGTTGCATGTATGAAAAAAAAACCAATGAAAGTCAACCAATGAAATATATGGCTGGTTATCAAGTCAAATTGATTGTCGCCTTACTGGTTTATTCACGCTTGCGCAGCCGTAACATATTGCATTTTGAATAAACCAGATGAACAATCTTTGCAATATTCCCACAGTCCTTTGCACAAACCCAGATGGGAACGGATTGCGTTGCCAATATGATGAGAAGTTAGCAGTTGCAGACCATTATCCCTCAATATATAACAAAGACAGCAATAGATTCACATGCTACACAGAGCAGATGCATAACAGCGAAGACTTGACACATCGGACAGGTCATGATGCAACCGTTACTTTGGGACAAGGAAGCCATCACGCCTTGGGCAGATTGGCAGTGCTAATAACCATCACAACATGACAATGCCAATGCAGAATATCAAAGAAAACAGCTAATTTAGACAGAATTTGCATGCTTAGAAACAGCCTTTATGTGCAAGAAAACATTTACCTTTTAAAATCAAATGAAGCATTGTCGTGTCTCTTACCTCGTCGTATAATTGGTCTGTCAAGCATAGCTGGAGTCTGCAATAGCGAAACCAGGATACAGGATTCCTGGTATGTCTATAACGGTTATGTAACTTTTTATATAACTGCATTTAAACAAGCACACCGTTATTAGCGAGGCAGTACCTGAGCCCTCGGCCCCTCGGAGCCTTTGATCCTTTATGGAGGTTCAAATCAAGCTCTTGTAATCTCTTTGAAGATAACCACGTAACCTTCAGATCTCACCAATTTCAATGGAATGCAAAACTGGGGTCCAACCATTCAGATTCTGGCAAACTGACAAAATCGCTGCCTGGTTTCTATGGCAACTTCACACACACTCAGTGACATGTTTGGTCATAGTGTCATACGTGCCCAGAATAAATTGAGCATGTTTCAGGTGATTTTCAATGGAATACTCTGATTGCAACTCAGTATGCATTGGGACAGCCATAAGTGAGGCATTTGTTGGTCGATCCACAATTAAAGTGTGAATAATTCACTCTGAACATCTGTTTGGCTGACCAGTGGCAGAAATATGAAAACAATAATTATTTTTGCAATTATGTTTGGTGGCACAGAAATAACGTGCCTCAGCTTTAGATGTAAATTAAGTAAAATTACAATTAAGTAATTGTGTGATTTTTGTGTTTTGTGTTGCAGGTGAGGTGCCTTTAAACTCTGGACCAAACCAACAGTGCTGAAAATGAAGATCTGTGTTGCTTTTATTGTAGTAGCTGTTCTTCACATCGCTCAGGCTGGTGAGTTTCTGTCTCTCATGCTCTGATGCATCAGTTTTCTCACAAAGTGCTTCAATGGCATAACTTTTTGCATAAAATAAAATAAATGAAAAAAGAGAAAATAAAATAAAAATGAATAAAATAATAAATGAAAATATGAAATTAAATAATATAAAAATTAAATAAAATGTATCTTTAAACTACAATAGCTCATTGTACTTTGAAAGCATAAAGTATGCTTTGAATAAAATAAAATATAAAATGTAGATAAAATGTGTTTGTTTGTTTTGCATGATTCTTATGGCGTTTCAATGGCATGACTTTTTACATTAAATAACATTAATTAAAAAAATAAAATAATAAATTACAATATGAAATAAAAATTATGTAAAATTAACATAAAATAATCAATTAAAATATATAAATACGAAATAAAAATATTTAATATAAAATAAAAATATGAAATAAAATTTAAAATAGAAATAAAATATAAAATAAAAAGTTTCTTTGAACTACAATAGTTCATTATACTTTGAAAGCATGAAGTATACTTTGAATAAAATTATAAAATATAAAATAAATATACAATTAAAAAGGGATAATATAAAAAGGAATTCCTTTTTATCTTTAAAATACAAGAGTATTTTATAATAATCATTGAGTTTCTGACATGTTAACATAAGCATTAACATAACTTTGTTTTATAGCCTTGGTTGCATAATTTCTCTTCTATTATTAATAGCCCTTTCTGTCTGTCATCCCTCCCTTATCTTCTGTTGCTTTACAGGCTGAAATGTGACATTGCTTGATGTACAGTATCAGAGATTAGCTAGCATGTGGCCATCCAAAATACCGACATCCTTTCAGTCTCATTTTAATCCGTCCGACAGAGAAGAGACCGCATGACTAAGAGTCTTGTTACAGAAGAAGTCTCTTGGATTTAGTTTGCCAAACCCACAGAAGCTCTTTGAGACTTTTTTCCCACTGTGTTTCATTGTAGTCCAGCAAACTCTAACTCAGTTTTAAGCCAAAACCCAACAGCACAATCCATATCAGGCCCCTAAATGTGGTGCATTTCTGCTCCTTTCAACTTTGCTCAGCAAAGTAGCTTTACTGTAATTTAACAAACTGAAGTTGCTTTCAGACCTTGTAGTTGGAAATGTGATTTGCAATTATAAAAAAGCAGCACAGCCTTCCACATTAAAAGTCAAAATGGTTGTATTCTACTGTATACGGTCATAATGGTTGCATGATTCATTACAATCACCCGAATCTGTGTGAAAACATGTTTTTATGTGCATTTAGAGCGGGATCGCTCTTTTGGGTTTGTAGTATTTTCAGCAATGCCTTTGAGCGAGTGGATTCCTCTGGGAAAATCTGCATTTGAACAGCTTTTTGTTGAGTACACAAAGCATGATGGCTTTTCACAATTTTGTTTTGCGGCATGGATTCTATATATTGTAAAGGCTGGCGATGAAATTAATGTATCACTTCAGGACAGCTAGTTAGTGGTCACATAAAAGCATTTGTTTGAAATAACAGGCTACTGTGTTTTCTTTGATTGTGTCATTCTCTGAGAGCTGAGCTCAGGATGAATGGTGTCATTTATTAAAGACATGCTTTATCTTATAGTTGCTTTGTTGTTCTTTCATTGCCTGTCCCTAGTTAGCTACTCTTTCAGCTTTTATATATATATATATATATATATATATATATATACAGTGGGTACGG